ATATTGATAGAAGTTTAGATCAAAAATTAAATATGGCAATATACAATTTTCATCATTTTTAGTTAATAAAAATTATATTTATTTGATTTAGCCAATTAAAAATAATTAATTTTGCATTACATTAAGTGATAAAATTGTTTTGTTGATCGTTGCACAAAAGAATGTCCACCATGCTTGGGCATGCTGCAACAAAACCAGACAAGTGAACATTGGTATTACCAAAGACTTCAGGGATCTATAGTGTTTTTAACATCACAATTGTGTTACCAATGTAATGTGATCACAATATTCATCTAGACAAAAATCGTTAATATGAAGTTAATTTACATCAGATCTACTATGGAACCCAAAAATTACAGCACTATTAGAAGTATCTTGAAAAAAGAACAAGGGGAGAAAATTGCTCCTTACATTTTTAAATTAGCAGATACCAAATTTTTGCAAACATATTTAGACAAAGAAAGGATTACCTATGAAGTTTATCAAGAAAGCATCATGATGATGCATTATTACCTAATAAAAAGCAGAAATCCTTAGAAGGAAAATAATCTTATTATTACAATATTGATTTATTTTTTTTTACTGACAAAGAAAATTCTCCTTTATGCAAATATAATTAGCAATCATCAAATTGCATTGTTTATCAATAAAAAAATGTTTTTGTTTGAACAAATTTTACATTTGAGGATATGTTTATAAATCTTTGTTTTTCTCTCATTGAAGTTGAAGCAAGGTAAATAATCCCACCTTGTATTGAAACATTATAAAAACATTACCAATTCACTTAATTTTCAGATAAATAACACATCCTTCTAACAATCATCATTGACAATTTTATTTTGGTTTAAAAAAAAACAAATAATAAATATTTTCATAATAACATTTTTAAAAAAAATGCTTACATTTAATGGTGAATTTTTTTGCAAGTTGTTAATTGATTTCTTATTTCACTATAAAACTTGCAAAAATCAATTTTATATTATAAATCAAAAAATTGATCAAATAATCAATAAAATAGAACCAAGAAAAAGCCAATTCAAAAATAATCAGACAAACTTACTAGTGATAAACAATATTCACAAGAAATAGAAAATCTATGAAAGGATTTCAAGCAATTATTTGACAAAACAACTGGGTTGAATCCCAATTTTTTATTTGGTGAAATGGCCATGGAAATTTGTGAATTATTTGGTGAGAAAAAAGTTGCTGCTTCTATTGTTAAAATTTCTATCAACAAAAAACAAACCCTAGAAGCAGAATGATAGAAGCAATTCAATAGTGGGTTGAGAAAGAAAAGATGAAAGAGGTAGAGAGTGAAGATGAAAAAGATAATGAAAACAACAAAGATATGAATATTAACAATGATATTATTGATAATAATAATAGTAGTAGTAATAGTGAAAGTTAGATTTTTTCAGAGTGCTCAAAGAATAGGTAATGACTTTAGATCCAAGTATTTTCCTCCCATGCAAGTCTGACAATTTTTTAACTTATATTTTTATGTATTTTTCTATTATTAGTTAAATTAAAATAAAAATATTTAATCATTGTCTGTAAAATAGCATAATGGAAATTTGAAATGTTACACTAATTTTTTATATTGTGCAACGTTGCTTTACAATACACGGCAAACATTCTGGCAATAAAAAAGTAAGTGATAAACTGGATTTGAATTGGATCTGGACTTGATCTCCAATTTAGAGAGGTAACAACTATATACTGGCGAAGTTTCAGAAGCAATGAGTTCTGTATAGCGTTTCATGTAACAACAAACTTCCACTATGCTTGGTAGAATTGGAAATTTTGTATGCATAATTTAATTTTTAAAAAAACATTTTATGATGATGCTTGCAACAAGTTTAGAGGTGATGATCATTAATTTTTAAAAAAATTTCATGTTTTCTCTTTTCAAGAATTAGCAATCAATGGCTAGCAATGAGAAGTGATCGATTTTCTGTTTTGTTTTATTTGCAGATCATCTGGGGCACATTTACTAATAAAAAATATTCAAATGTATTTGTAAAATGGTTATTATACTCAATAAAAAGAAAGCTATGTATGTAGTCAATATTGAAAGTATACATGCAGCCCAAAGTATTTTGACACTGTTGTAAAGGGGTGTTACACCTATGTTTTTTAATAGTGAGTACAATTAATTTCTACTTTCTACCATCAAGATTGGAATAATTTTGACCATCAAAATTACCAAAACAATTTGGTTTTTGATATTTTATATGGTTGGCTCGGTCTAAAGACTTCTACTTCTGCGCCACGCGGCCAAATTTCAGCAATTTCGTGATTGATTCAAAAATTTTTAAAAAAAATGAGTTTTACGTGATTTTGGTTCTTACTGCCAAATTTAGTAGTGATGTTCGAAATTTAGTAGTGATCCTAGTGGCAAGTTCCTCGCGAACATAGTAAAGTGCATGTTTTAAAAAGAATAGAATTCTACAACAAATAATTTTTTTGAGAAATCTCTATTACATTAAAACTAAAGACCTATTCTATCAACTAATAAAGTTATGTTTTTAAATTTAGGACAGAAAATGACTTCTATACTTTTTAAAATTTGTGCAAAATTTAGGAAGTCTTTAGACCAAGCTAACTATATGTATTTTGGTATATTAATATTACTATTTTTCTACTCATTTTGAGTTGGAGTACTAATTTCTAAAAAGAAAAATGCTAAGGGAACATTGTCAAGTACTTGTTTGGATTTAATATAGAAGCAGTTACCATTATTTTGAAAAAGTAAACAAAAAATTCAGAATTTCACCTCACTCAATTTCACATACAACAGTTTGTTGGATAAAATTTAGTAAAATATAAATTTTGTATGTTGTATAATCATTTCACAAACACAGTTGATTATTATTTTTAATTGGTAAATGTGTCACACATGGACGTCTAAATTATTTTTGGGGTTGTCTAAAGTTAAATAGTATTTAGACAAAAATGTCTAAATGTCTAAATTAATATAAATAGTAATGATATAATTTAAATACCACAAAGTTCAGTAAATTATCTGATAAAAAAGCCAATTTCAACGTTTTAGACAATCATGGTCTCAATTGTCTAAATGTCTAAATTAATTTATATTTTAGACATTGTCTAAATAATTTAGTTTAGACACCCATATATAGCCCCGCATTTTCTATTAAAATCCTGGTTAATGAATGATCTATAAATTACATTGTAAAAAATTACTTTCAAAAACAAATTAAACACTTTACAAACAAATTACTTTAATTGTGATAAAAATATAAGTTATCTTTTATTTCTTAAGAATAATAATAAAATTACAGACAGATAATCTCATCTATCCAAACATAAATATTTCTTTGTTTGTCACATTTATGTAATTGTGATAATAATGTAAATCATTGCAGTACATGTTATTTTAAGTGATAATCTCAAATGTTTGTTTTGTGTAATTTCAATTAAAATTAAAATAATAGTTAAAGAAAATAATTTGAATGCCTATGTTTCGACTTGTTCTTATTTTTATTCCGATTAAAAGAACTGTAAGTAGAACTCCAAATTAAATTCTTTACCAATTTATACACTTCTAATTCTTCTATCAAATGAACTCTATTATGCATCTTGAAAAGAATCATCGTCAGAAAAGTAAATATTTCCAGAGTTTTGATTCAAACGAAATGTCAATTTGTCTGATTCATACTATTAAAAACAATAATTATCATCAATTATTATAACATGTAAACTAACTGTCAGTGAAGTGTTTGTCGACGAAATGATTGTCGAGGAAATGAACTGTCGACGAAATGAACTGTCAGCGAAATGAACTTAGTTAAGTTACACTTCTGGCAATCATGGGAAATGAGAAAAGGCTATCTATCTATATACAGTTCACTCTCTCTATAATGTAGCTTGATCTGAGAATTTTAAGCCTAATTTATATTCCCAATATATAGAAAGTGAACTGTATACGATCGCAAATTACCAAAGCGAGGTCAAATATTCTCGAATTCAACTCGAAAAACCAGTTTTAATTACCGATCCAACTCTCTCGGTGAATAGAAGAATCCTCTTTAATATCAAACCAAAAATTGTTAATGGGAATGATTATGACTTTATATCTTCTGTGTGAGCAGGTTTAATTTTATTGGTATATGGCGAACAGATTTTACGACTGATGCCTTTTTGGGGATGGATTTATCGTATTTTATATTGAGTATTTGGTGATTTGTATTGGTAATCATTTGGAATCAATGTTTTTTTACTACGTTAAAGAAAGAATGTATAGTTCGAATTCATCTTCATTAAAGGTGACAACAATGACAATTGTAATTGATTCTATTGCTTTAACTAATACTCTTATATTAGTATTAGATTAAAGTTGTTAACCGAATTCGAAACTATTTCAGATTTTTGATTTTTAAAAACTGAAATGCAATTATCAGTAGTAATAGTAATATCAAGTTTTTTTGCAATAACAAAATAACAGACAAGAAAGATTTTTGGCAAAAAAAAAATCTCACTTTCAGTGAACTCTAAATAACACGTATGTTCTAAATTATTTTTTCCAAAGGTATTTGCGTTAATATATCTAAACCATCATCTATATTTTCAATTATACTTTTATTTACCTTTTTGTGCATGCGTTTTACAAACATTAATTTATTGATTTGATACTTGTGATTACTTTGATTATTAACATTAATCATTTCAAGGCCAGACAGAACAAAATAAATACTAATACTTGACAAATTTTCCAATTCTAGATGCGTTATCACTTGTCAAAATAAAAAATATACAATATAATGTTTTTTTAAAAAATTTTGAATTTATTATATAAATATATAAATAAATAATAATCATAAAAAAAATTAAAATAATAAATCTAATAATTATTTTTTTGAATTCTTAATTTCATTCAACAAAATTTGCATTTGAGTCTTGAGGTCATCTTTAAGGTTTTTTTCTATTTCCATCATATTATTTATAAGTTTGCTTTCAATTTGTTGAAAATCAATTTCTTTTTTTTGACACACTCGGAGCAAGTTCTCTAAGCCTATCCGGAATATATGGGGGATTTTCTTCACCATTGTTGCTATCATCTGCTTTTTTAATTTCTTTACGAATATCATCAATTGGTACATTATATGATCTAACAAAAAAAAATTTTAAATAATTGTTAAAAGAAATTTATCAAATGATTTAATTGATTATTATTATATTTACAATATATCTGGAAACCAGGTTCTCCAACGACGCTGATTAGGAAGTAAATAAAATAATTCAATCTCTGTGATAACTTTGGCTTTTTGAAACCAAAATGCTTCTTTGGTATCATAATGTTCAATTTCATTGCCAAGCAAACCAATGAATAAATTCATTAGGTATACCACAACTATGAATGAAAATGCAACCATTAATAGTATAAGATATGCATCATCTTGCAATACCCTATTTTTAAATGCTTCATTATCTCCTAATAAAAAAAAAACCAATCAAGTTAAATTTAAAGCTTCTCACAAGTTGGCTCATGCGAAGCCTTATATAAATTATTACCTGCAAGGAAATTATACATTGCCAGAATTGAAGAGGGAAACAATGTAAACATGTTTGTGTTGCCATCAGGTTGTTGTATAAAATATGAATCTTGACTATATGAATTGTTGTTTGCAAAATATGTATAATATTTATTAACAAGATTCCAAGGGTTGTTGGAATCATTATTGATAGTAGGTTGGTCTATTGTAAAATTTTGACTTGGTTTCAACAATAAAAAAAATGCATGTGAAAAGCTTAAAATGATTATCATTATTATAATTAAGAACCAAAAGACTTTTTTAGCAACTCCTATAATAATGGTAAAATATGCTCCAGTATGACTAAAAACTCTTAAGAATAACATTAATCTTAAATCTAATAATAAATTTGATGCAGAAATCAGTTGAACAGGTGGTGGATCATTATAATGCAGCCATAGAATTGAAGTAACAATTGCTAAGGAATAGGCGCCTAGGTCTATTATTTAAAATTAATTAATTAATTAATTAATAAACAAATAATAAAAATGATAACACCATACCAAAGTAATTCCAGAAATCTTTGATATATTTCAATGGTTTCCAGATAAATTGTCTAACTTCTATTGTGAGATGAATTGCTCCAAGGGTAACTGCTGTCATTAATAATGAACTTCTATTATTATCAGATAACTGATCTGGTGAAGTGGAAGTTGCAATAACAAAGCTTAATAAAAATGCTATATAAAAAATCAATATTCCAATATAATATCTAAATCCAAAAGTGTTCCATTTATGATCCAAAATTAGTTTACTATTCAAATGCTTGCATAGTTCTAAAGGATCTGATGCAACTAATTCAACAAATATACTATTATCTGGCTTATATAATAATTCTTTCAATGATGAATATTTGGTTTTGTATGTAAGTAATCCAGGATATGGAATTATCAATTTTACACAAGGTTTAGTTTTATTATTATTTTCTCTATTGTATAAAAATGTTTTAACCTTTTCAAATATAGTAAACCTTTTGAACATAAAAAAAAAATCCCAAAAGGTTCTATCTTCATAAATAAAAATTTCATTAATGATTGGATTATAAAGAATTTTTTCATGATAAACTTTATCATTAAATGGAAATAATATCATTGAAGTTTGATTAAAGAATTTTGATAATTTTTGATGATTTTTTTGTAATCTTGGTAATTCTGGTATAATTATTTTTAATAAACTAATATTTGTTGCAGTATCCTCTTGGAAATATTTAAGACAGGAATCAAAAATTTTTTCTACAACTATGCTATCATTTACATTTAATGCTAATCTTAAAAATTTTTCTCCATGTTTGAAATTATATAAATCTTCCAACATATATAACATCATTTCTCTATAAGGTTGTCTGGAATAATCGGATTGAGTAACATCATTAAAATTAAATAAATAGTCTTCAATATTATTTGTTTCTATAGATGTTTCTGTTTTTTTTTTCCTGGTTCACTATCTTTAATAATATACTTTATAACTATTTTAGAACTTTGATTATTAAATGACAAAATGCGTATATATTGATGTGTTACTAAAATCAAATCATGATTATTTAGCAAACCACAATGTTCTAACTTTTCAGTGACACGAATACCATATTCATCAATTGTTATTCTATTATCAATTTTTTGAGCTTTTATATTGATATTTTTATAATTTTCATAATGCTCTATCCTCCATTTAATATTAATATCACCTTTTTTCGATCTTTTGTGAGACTTAATACATTCTTTATCTAACTCTTTTAATTCTTTTAATTCTTGTACTATATATGAATGTAAATAACAGCTATTTTTTGTGCACATTTGTTGAACAGCATCTAATGTTTCTTTGTTAATAATTTCTTTAATGCAAATTTGATTATTAATAGCCATAACTATTTTATTCTCTAATATTATTGGTCCAAATATGATATCTTCATGTGCATTTGCATTTGTTATAACATGCTCATTAAAATTTTTTAAATTATAAGGATCCATTAATTTACAAATGTAATGATTTGTATTTAAATATAATATTAATAAACATTCTAATGGACTTTTTATACAAATAAAATCTAATTTTTTAATAGTGATATTTTTTTCCAATTCAACTGTAAGATAGATAGATAAATAAATAAATAAATAAATAGTGTATATAAATAAATAAATAAAGCTAAATCATACTTACATGAAGAAATAGTAATGTTAAGTTTTATTGAATAAATTATTATTTTTGAAGTATTTTTATAATATAATGCCATTATTGTTTTGTCTTGATTAAATATTATATCAGTATGATTTCTTTTACATATTAAATAACAACTATCATGATATGATATAGTTGTTGGTTTCCATTTCCATAGTGATAATAATGAAAGCTTATCATTTAATAGAAGATAATCAGAATCTACAAAATAATCTGTAATTGCATTATAATGATAATTACTGTAAATGTGGCATGTTGATTTATGAACCAATTTATTTTTTTCATTAGATGAAAAATAGTATAAAGAATCCTTTTTTATTGTTATTAAATCATTATTTGTAGTGAAACCCCCAAATTTATCACCAATTAAATATTTATTTTCTTGAAAAGTCAAATAAGCCAATAAAATTGATTTTGAATGATGTAAATTATTATTATTATTTATTGCTTATAAATAATATAATATGCATAATAAATAATCATATTTACTTACTACAACCAAGTATATATTTATTATCTAAAACATCCATTTTATGCTCTCTAGAATATTTAAAACAATCATTGTTATATGGTCGAATAGTTTCATGGTCATCAACTGTACATCTAATAATAGCAGATCCATCTCGTTTACCAAGAGTTACTAAAAACTTATAATTAATATTATCAATTATAGTTTCCTGTTTAATAGCATCAACATTTATATAATCTGTAGTTGAATTTTTAGTGATATTTTCTGATATTTCATATTTTTCTGTAAGAAATCTTCCTACTGCTATAATTGTTTCTGTTGCTGCTTTAAATATTGCTCTTAATGCTTCATTAGGCCTTGCTTCTTCCTTATTTATCTCATTATCATTTTCTTCTTCCGTATCATCGCCACTTTCTGATTCCATAGACTTTTCTCCCTCAATTGTCACTACTTCTACATCACTATTATCACCACTTTCTGATCCCATAGACTTTACTTTCTTATTTGTCTCTGCATCATTATCTTTCTCAATTGTTATTGTTGTATATTCATCGTTTGTCATTTTTATAAAAGAATTGATTAAAAAAAAAATTTTTTTTTTAATAAGTATATTCGACTTTTATAAATAAAATAAATTGACAATAAACACTTGTTCTTATATAAATTTTTTTTTTTTTTTTTTTGGCGATAATCAATGAGCTTTTTGCATTGCATTCAAAAAATAACGCCACAAATAATTAAGAAATAAATATGTGCATACAGCTGTTGAATTTTATTAATCGTGTAGTTATCCACAAAAAATACTCGCAAATTTTGTAAAATCTCGGAATAAAAATCCGCAAAAATCATCCGCAATTTTGCGCAACATCATGAGAATATCTCCTTATTTAGAAATTGATTTGGCGATTGCGGATGATTTTTGCGGAAAAATACATGATTATTTTGTACATCTTCCTATCTGATGTGTGGACACGAATTCATATTCCATAATAATAACAATACTAAAATGATATCAAGTCATTCCAAACAAGTATTCTTTATTATTATGGTAAAACAAAGGGAGTCGTATGTTGTAAATATATATGTTTTTCACGTTTAAGTATAAAAAATAAGAAAAAAATAGATTGATAATTGTACATAACTATTATTACGCCAAATCTTTGCAATTCCGAATTCAATATTTACAATGATATTTATTGACGGTGATGTGGACAGTATGATCGATCCTTTTTTAATATACGTGGGTTGTACAAAAAGTTTTGAGAAAATACATGTAACTTTATAAATTTGAAGGCAATTGGTTTGGAAATTTTTTTAAATAAAAAACAGAGTTCCCATCTTTCAAATATTTTTTTGATTGCTAATTATTGAGATATTAAATTTTAAAGATTAACAACCAAAACAACTGGGAATTTTTTGTCATAAGGTACATAACTTGATGATTTTAAGTGTGATGAATTAATATAAGTAACATTCTTCTCATCTTTCAAATAAAAAAAAGGTTACTTTCTTTCACCGGTTAATTATTGAGATATTGAATTTTCAACCCGATTTTTTTTATTTTCAACAGTTAAAAAAACATGTGGAACCCATTTTTTACAAATTTTATGAACTTTTAATTCAATATGTAAAATACTTTTGAATACTTCCTCTAGAAATGCCTACATTCTCTTCAATAGCTGTAATTGTCATATGAGGATCATCACTAATTAAATCATCAAATTTTGCAATGTTTTCAAGAGTGGAAGTTTCTTGAGGACATCCAGAATGTGAATCATCTTCAACATTGTTTTTTCCACTTTCAAATGCTTCAATCCAACAATAAATAGCATAGTGGACACTGTTGCAGATCAACAGTCATTTGTATAATATGCATGTGGTTACACAGATCCCGTTGCTTCTGAAACTTCACTAGAATATAGCTGTAACCTCTCTAAGTCCAGATCATCAGCAAAATCAAAATTATCTCACACTTTTATAATCAAACTTTTGCAAGAACTTTCACCATAACAAACATTATGTTGATCATTTTTTTGTGATCTGCAACAGTGTCCACTATGCTACAATAAATAGATTAAGGATACTGGCTGCAACTTTTGATGATGGTTGCTACCATCTTTGCATCATATAAAAATGATTGCAACCACTGGTTGCAACCACCTTTACAACCATTTTGTTTCCTTTTTTGGATTGCGACATG